CAAAAGAACCCAAAAGGCTCAGAAGCCAGAACACAAGTAGAAAGAACCCAACACTGAAGATCCTTGTTATTAATACTTTACATTTTGTAATTTTTAAATTTGAGGGGTGTTAACTCCTGAAGTTTTCACACTTGGGGTGGAAATACAGCACTACACTCCAGGCTCCTCAAAACATCAGAGCTTCCCTGAACATCATCCTAGAAATGAATGTTTTCCTAGGGAAACTCTTTAATCAAGGCATGATGACTCAGAGTATATAAACTTGGAGCTTCAGTGATATTAATAGAACTCGTATTATTATTGCTTGTTCCAATCCCTACCCATCCCATTTCCATTTTCCTTGTGTTCATCTTCTTGTTCTATGTTTAGATAGTGCATTTTCAGGGCAGGGATAGCAATGTTATTCTCATCTCTGGATAACACAGTGCAAAGGTATAGTGTTCTACCCATTTTTAATAAACAAATAACATATGCCTGCCCTCCTGAATGCACCAACATCTCTGTCCAACTGAGGAGCAGCCTCTTTTTTGCGGCTGTGTAGTGAGTGATAGTAATGCACTTGTAACCTTTCAAATGTCCTTTTGACATTTGAAGGAGCATGAAATATATAGGAATTGTGTAGCTTTCTTAAATAGTGTATGAACTCTCTAGTGGTGTTCAGTAGACACATCTACACATACAGTTAGTGTACCTGAATTTTCTGAGCAGAAAATGCAGGCACATTAAACTGCTCCCATTTGCATCTGAACACGTGTATCTGTTGAGAGCAAATTTGATATCAACAGGAGTTCAGTCTAGGGCTGCTCCTGCCCTGCTTTGTCCCCCTGCAGTAGCCAGGGGGAGCTCCAGGCTCCCCTGGGTGCCAGCTCCAGGCTGGCAGGGGGCAACAAGGGCTGGTCCTAATCTCTGCTAAGCAGGAGAGAGCTGTCCCAGCTTGGCAGGATGTTGCCTTCCAGCCACGTGGAGATCGGGACCTATCCCAACCTCCATGGGGCAGGGAGAGCTGTCCCAGCTCAGCAGGACACTGCCTGCCAGCCATGTGGAGATCAGGACCCTCCCCAATCTCCATAGGACAGGGAGGCAGCTGCCCAGCAGCTGGAACAGCTCTCCCAGCGACGTGGAAATCGGGATGGGTCTAGTACCTTTCACAGGTACTAGAAAATGGCACATTAGACTAATATACTGTGCAGTAATTGCTGCATGTGTAGATGGTGATGTTTTAATGCACATTAGTCTAATGTGTAGTGAAGTGTCTTGTGTAGATTCACCCAGTGTTTTCTAAAGTTTAGCAGCCAGCTAGAGCAGCTGCCTATGTAGGTAGCAAATATGATACAGACCTAGCTTGTCCCTGGATAGCTTCTGCCACAATATATATTTTACCTAAAAAGCAAGAGACACAACAGTGGGTCTGACCTCTTCAACAGAAAACCATGTAAAATGTCACATGGATGTGATGTGTGCTACTTTCCTATAATCTTTCTAATGTATGGTGCTATCAAGTATTACTTGTAATAGCAGATTAAATATTTGAAGAGAAGTATGGCTTTTTAAGTAGACAGTGCTTTTTTAATAGATGACAACATGCCTGTGCTTGTTAAAATTTATACGCTAGAAGAGGACTCAGTGAAGGGGATTTAACTTCAAGGGGACTCAAGAGGGTGTTATGGGAGTTGTACACAAGAGAGTTATTGTTGTATATGTGAATATGTGCAGTTAGCTAATGTAAACAGAGGCATCTACTAGCACTTGAGAATACGTAATATTGCTGCAGAGTTTGTAAGACCAATGACGTTACTGAAATTGTGGGCTACAAACAGCTTCCTTAGCGCACAGCTCTCAAGGGTCCATTTCCTGGGAACTCTGATTACCGTTCTTCAGCATATGCTGGGGACTCACACTTGTCTTCCATCCAGAATCTTAGAAGGAATATGATATACTGAAACCAGACATGGAAGAGCAAGTGATGACTCTTGCTGCCGTATCATACTGGCAGCTCCTAATGTGTTGACCGCCCACACACAGAGATCTCTGCTTTCTAGATTTCATTGAATATGTGTATACCAGATTATTTCCCCCCTGCAGTTGGTTAGTTATGCAAAGGTAAATTCAGTTTACTGTTTCTTATCCATTTTTACATCTCCAGCTCCCAACTGAGTATCCAATGAACTATACCACCTTGTCTTTTTCCACTGAAGTAAAAACTGACTCCTCTAAGAAGAGCTCCTATTCAAGATCAGTTCAGAGAGACAGTTAGTTTTGTAGCTACTGAGCATGGGTGATGCCCACTGTAGCTTTAAAGTATCTTTGCAAATTCCAAGTGCACATGCCAGATCATAACTGAACCAAGGCGAGGGGGAGACAGAACTTGCAGTTGTAAGTGCACATGTATGCGTGTAGGCACATGCCCATGTGATGCTGAGATTCCAGAGCTGCTCGTTACTATCACTCCAGATAGACGAGCTGCATATTCTTGTCCACTCTCTCTTTACTAGCCAGTAACTCTTGTGCATTGTGTCAGAAGTACAAGGGGCAACTTAACCTCTGAAGCACTGAGTTTGACTATCCTGATCCTGATTCTGAACTCCTGTGCAAGCCACTCAAAAGGAAGCCCTGTATCAAACTCCCTTCCATTCTAAGGGTGCCAGCCTAAGAGCAGACTGCATGGTGACTGAAGACAGAGGTTCAGCTTTAATTTGTTAACAGTGTCCCTTAAGCTTCATCCTTTACCTTTCACTGGGTTGGAAACCATGAATTCGAGTCTACGGGGAAGAAAACATTCTAAAATCTGTTTTCATCCCAAATTGGAATGAAGAGGCAATATTTTGACTGTTTTGGGGCAATGGAAATTCTGGACAGTTTTGATTTGGAAACATTCCAGTGTTTTGCTCCATGTTAAAATACAGTAAGAAATAAGCATAATAAAACAATAAAAGTAATTCATTTTAAACATTCTCCTGTCAAAAGCTCTATCCAGATTGGCTCATTCCACCATAACAATGGGATTTCAGTGCAACTGTACTTTCCTACTGAAAACTATACACGTGATTTTTTTTTTGATTACTTCAACTTAGTGCACTTGAATTGTGCTGCCTTTTGGCCACTGCTACAACTTGGAGGATTTATTTTACATGACTTCATTAACATGCTGTTTACACTCTCCTAAATCGTTAGCAAAGATTAAGAAGGTAGATTTAACGCCTGTCTCTCTGGCACTCACTTAGACCATGGTACCCTATGTAATGTTCAGTAGTCATTTATCATGGCTTTTTAGGGTTATTGAAACAGTTCTCAATTCACATGACACTGTTTACAGCCTTGCCTGTTTTAATTTTTCAAGTATTTTGAGACACTTAATACTTAATTGCCAACACATATTAAAATTGTTGCTATCTTTTTGCTCAATACATATAAAACACAAAGGATCAAGTTTGTCTGCTATGGTATGTTCTGCATTAACCATTTCCTCCACCTGTTTTGATGTTGTCCTTTCTTCCTGCAGAAGTATCACCTTCTACTGAGCAGCAGCGGTGGCTGGGCCATATAGGTTGGTTTCCAGTAAAGAAGAAATTGGTGATATGGAATTTGGGTAGATTTAAATGCATCTTCCTTTCTACTTAGTAAAGTGTTATGCAACCTATACATATTACTACCTGTACCATGTGTACAAGTAAGGTTTGCCAGATCTACATACATACACCATTCCTGACTAAGGTTCAATCAATTCCTTCCTCCCAGACTCCCAGTCAAAACCCAGTGCCTGGATCCCAAGGGGCAAGTCTGCCTCCAGAAATTATTTCAATCAGAGACAAGAGCAAAGCAAAAACAGTTCTATGCCTTGCACAGCTATCTGTCCCAAGACTGCTGCCTCTACATGAATCTTGCACAATATAATTAACAACACAGTATGTCTTCCCAAAATGACTATTTGCTTGTACACTTAGAAAAAAACTTGGGAGCCATACCTGGTTAGGCCTGCCATAACAATACTTTAGTTAATAGTAGTTTCATAGTTTTACTGAGAATAAAAATTGTAATGATTGATTAGCCAGTTTCAATTTCCTTTTCTTTGTCAGAGAACAAAGCTGTGTTTGCTTTAATCCGGTTCTTTTGCACTTCTCTGATGATCCAAGCCTACAACTAGCAACACACCTGCTTGGAGTCCCACTGACATGTGGTTGTAAGGTTTAGGAATATGCCTGGATAGATTCGTTTGCTGGACTTGGCCTCAAGATCTCAGTGACTTATCAAAAACCCTTATCTGGTAGTTAAGGGCATTAGCTCGAATGCATTGCAGCCAATCTGCTGCATATTGTATTTGTTAACTTTTGCCAAGGTATCTTATCTGGGTTCTTTTTAATTAAATGCTGACTATGTCTCTGATTCTGCAAACATGGAGTAACTTTATACAGGTGAACGATCACAGAGAGTTCACTAAGGATGCTTGCATGCATAAATATACGTAAGAGTTCTTAGCATGGGTGCTCAGTGTCTTTTTAAGAGACTCAGAAGAGGACGGTAAAGTTCAAGGACAGACAAAAGCTATTTAATAAATCTTAATTACTTCCTCGTTCTCCAGACCTCTGCTTTATTTGTTTGTTAAACACAGATAAAAATACATTAGTATCTCATATCTTGGAACCTTGATTCACACACACACACACACGCGCACAATCTCTCTCTTTTATTATTAGTAGGGCTGCTTTTCTTCTTTCCCATATACTTATAAACCCCTTTTTATTCCCGTAAGATATTTAGCTAGAAGTAAACTATTCTGCATTGCTATCCTGCTCTCATTTATGTTATATTCTTTTCCCTCTTCACCTTTTTATTATTTTTAAACATCAGATCTCAAAAAGTCTCCCTGGGAAAATACTCTGGATATTTTTCTGTGTGGCAACTGAGAACCCTTGATCAAACTAACGATGGAAGCAGTAAGGAAGAACAGATATGGTGACAGCACACAGTAGAATTCAGTTTGCTCTTTTTTTTTTTTTTTTTTAATTGCTTATTCAGCTACCTGGTTCAAAAAATCATTTCCAAAAGCTATTGCCTTTTGGTGCTGATGTACTCAACCCTCATGTAGATTCCTCAGCTACAATTCTGTTTTAAGGGTCAGGTTAGGAGCTGCTACTCTGATTTTTTTTTTCAAAGACAGGACAGCATTTCTTACTTTTCTGCACACCACTTCACTGAAGGTAAGGAATGTTGCAGTGCATGACAGCGCCAGCTGGAGCCACTTATAAAGGGGGTGATCTGCCTCAATGCTGAAATGCTGAACAGAACTTGGTGTTTCCTTTCTGAAATGGAGATTTTGCTTTCATACACACATCTGATCTGTGGGGTTTGCTGTACTGGATACTTACATTCAATAAGTGTTCAAACTGAACAGGCAAAAAGGAGCTCTGCATAAAGTGATCCTTTCATACAAGCAAACAGACATGACCTGAACTTGCTCCCATCTTTTAGTTATTGAGTAATTGAATGTTAATGTTAACTCCATCATCCATGGAAGTGCTTGCATACTATGTTAAGAATCCAGTTTAGCAACCTAGATCTCTACCAGAACATTCAGGTAGATGTTCGTGTTATTGGTTGCATTACGGAAATTGCAGCCAGAGAAATGAATACTCACCAGAATCTAATTGATGGTGTCACCCCTTCTCCAAGTAAAGCTTTAGGTTGTGTTCTTCTCTCCTTGCAGTGAAGGTGGCTTATGGGTAACATCATCCTTCCTAAAGGTTTGGTGGCTTCTGGGACGTCATGTTGGAAAACTACTGCTCACTCAACTTGTGCTAAGAACCTGTTACTCTGGGGCACCACCTGATTCTTGTTAACTGCTCTTAAAGCAAGCTGCAAAGGCTGAGGTTTCACATAACTGGGAACATGTGAGGGAAGGACAGGCTATGTACAACCCTTTTGATCCATCTCTCAAACACCGAGATATCCCAGAAACTGTTCACCATCTTGTGTGGATACTGCTCTCTCAGCTGCTCACCTCACTCCCTGTAATAAGGGATAAAGCAGGGAAAACAGAACTGCCCATTAGAGCCCCACTCTTCTTCACACCTTCCCCTTTGACTTCTTCCAAGAAAGCAGACTTACCGGTCTCCTTCCCTGTTAGAGAGCTCCTTTCCTTACAGTCCCTTCCTTCATTAGCACACCTAGGGTAGGGCATTTTTAATGGAAGGACCTGAGTTATTTACACTGGTCCCAATGCTCTGCCACTTGCTCTAAGCAATCATCCATCCCTGTACAAAGTGGGTGAGAAATGGCAGCATTTCAGCCCACTGTGAATTCATATTGCATGGGGGTGAAGCATAAACACAAACAGGCAAGATAAAGCAGAATGGAGTCCTCAGTCTTCCCCTGAGTGGGTGGCTTGGAACTAAATGATAACAGCCAGCTTTTGACTTTATATTAACTTCTGTTCTTGGCATTAACTGGATCCAAAAAGATACTGAGGTGCCTAAATACTTTTCTGCATCTGGCCCTGGGTGTTTATGAAGGCAAGTCTTGCCTTCATGAATTGCAGAGTCATGTTCAGTCTGTTCCTTAAGATAGGATGAACACATCAGCTATAAGAAAACATGGGGCCAGTGGCCTTTCTTATGGTTTAACCACTCTTAACTTCTTTGCATGACAAGCACCGGATACATGTAAGCTATTAACGTTTATCGTAAAAAACTGAGAACATAACCGAAAACAGGGGGATTGGAACAGCTGAGTTCAAGCTGCAGGAGTCAGAACTGAAGAGAAAATAGATGTCACATGCAAAGTTAGTGGTGTACTTACACCACCAAGAAACTGGCCAATTTGAATCCCATGCTATTAAAGGAGTCCAGATCTTGCAAAGTAACCACCTCTGCTCTTCCCCATGGGGGTCCACAGGTGGCCACATTTGCCTGAATTCCTTTCCATTTTGAGTGCTACTCCACATTAGAGAACGGCCTGAATTCTTAATTGTGCTCGTCATTCCCATCTGATTCAATTGCATTGCTACACTTCCTGAGCTCTGTTATTTTTCCTTAAGTATAATCTTCACTGCGGATCTCCTGGCCTGTAGCTGGCTTTTGAGAAATCTACAATAGTCTTTTTCAGGGTGTCAAACAATGGCTATTTATAAGTCTAAAGCCCCATTAGCTAATTTTTTTTTGTGCGGCGCGGATGTTTTGTTTTGGCCTATGTATTTCCTTAGCTGTTTATATAAAGTTTTGTAAAACTGCCTAAGAGCCTGACACAGGTAATGGGAATCTAAAAAGGGAATGTCTTTCCTGAACACCTGTGATAAGGTTTTAACCAGATAAGTCTCACTCAATAGCTAGAACAAAAACAGAATCTTGTTAAAAATATTAAAGTGGCTATCCATGGCTACACATAGCATAAGGACCACGTGGCACATTAGCCACATGGCAGGCTGTAGAAGAGATGCATTGTGGGACCCTGTAAAGTACACCTCACAGAATAGCTACTATGGAAGACTTACACTACAGCATAGCAACTCTACCAGACTCCACATGTGCCGCATGACCAGTTAAGCATCCTAGTGTGCTTGCTTCTCTGCTTTGCTAATACACAGCTGCTCCTCCCCTTTCTCAGACCAAGCAATATCATTCTATCACATTAGTCCCTTGCAAGTCAATGGGACCATTTGTTAGGTACCTTGCTTCACATGAAGGGCACTGGAACTGGGCCCAGAGCATTAGCCCCTGACGATGCTGAAAGTCCCTCATTCTGTACAAGGCAAGCTCAGCAAAACAAATGAGGAGTTTCTAGGTCAAGCTGTTCTTGAGCTATGAAGCAAAAAAACAGAAGTGTTAGGTATCTCTTAAAGCACTTGGCATTGAGGGGGGAGATCAAACCAATGAATCTCCCAGCAGTCAATGTATTCTTTAATTTAGCTCCCCTCTCTTGCAAACTCCCTGCCTAACTGGCCTCAAACTATGGAAACTCAAATTTTCTAGGGAATCCACAACACCAGTAGCAGGCAGCCTGATTAATTTTTGGTAAAGTTGATATACATGCGTAAGCTGTGAGGGAGGCAGAAACAAAATAGGCCTTATAATGGAAAGGGAAGTACAGCCTCAACTAAGATGCTCCTACTCTGCACCATAATGCAGTCCCTCTCAGGTTGTCTCTAGTTCCAACACAGAGAGTCCTAGTTTGTTTCTTTCCATGCTTGATTACGTTTTAAGCTTGAACGCAGAAAATTCCTTCTGCTCTTAGATTTTATTCCTTTAGGGCAGGGGTAGGCAATTATTTCGGCTGGAGGGCCGCTTAACATGTTGAGGTGAGCTGTTGAGGGCCACGTGTAGCCCTGCCCCTGGTTGCCATTTTGGGACCACAGGTCCCACCCCTAACCCCTGACATTTTCCACCTGAAGTCCCTCCCCTGTCCTGGGAAGTACTCCTGTTTTTGGCAGGGGGGGATTTGCTATCTTGGAACTGGAAAAAAACAAACCATATACTAAAAATCAAACATCTACTATAACATACTTACATTTTATTTTTAAAAAATATTTCTGTCCTGATTTACATGCATCTGCATAGTGTATATAGAGGTGACTGCATAGCTCAAAATACAGTCCTTACTCTTGAATATTGTGTGTGGAGGGGTAAAGGGGTGTATGATTGGGAAGTGGGGGGCGGGGTGTGGGGTATATGTGTGGGTGGGTACCAGGGGGCAGTGGCTGTGTGCAGGGGCATGGG